CCTTCGTTGCCACTGAAAAGAAACGTTACACACTGGAATTTGCGAAGACTGCTCCAGTAGAGAGGTCCGATCAGCATGAAAAGTCTAACATAATGAAGTTATTCGGAAAGACACAAACACGGATTGGGGTGTCAAAACTACTCACACGACAGCTGAAATCTCCATTCAGTACAGTTTATCATACAATTGGGCATTGCCTGAAGTTATTCGCAATAGCATTTGTAGCGGAACCGGAATTGCAAAGAGAGCTTGATCATACCATGAAGTCAACTCCAAAGTACATACGATCGATTGTCATGTTCTTGGTAACTGGAATATGGTCATACACGCATTTTTTGCAGGATCTTTTGATGCCAATGTTCTTGCTCCATGGTAGAAAGAATGTAGATAATCTCTGGAAACAGATACGTGGGACAACAGTATCATTGAAGCGTCAGAGGATAATGATAGAGAGCACCGGAGGGTCTTCGACAGCATTTGTTCGAGTTCCGGATACAGCCAGCATTACTGGTAGCCATATCGTCAACAACGGTAGGGAAGATGCTGAAGCTATACAAGAGTCATTACTCGGCGACGGTGTCTGCGAGCTCCGTCAGTATGGTGGTGTCCTGAAAGAAGAGCCAGCCGACTCAGCCAAGCTTGAGCGCATAAGTATTTACAGCAAGGATCTTCTTCTTTTACGCAGAGAAGACTATGTCAAAGGCGCGAAAGCAAATGTTTACGAATATGAGTACGACTTGGAAAACATTCCAAAACAGACAATCATGACAACGCGTCGTCGCTATCCAATTTCGCGACGATGTGTGGAAGGGAATAACCAATTTGAACAAGTTTTGTTCAATAAGCAAGGTCTTGTTCAAAGTGGATCCTACGTTCTTGATGGAAATCTCGTGCGCTTTCATTGCCATTATAGACAGAACAGCAATTTTGATGATGAGTTGTTGAGAGCAGAGTTTGTATTGCCACATATGTTTTGCATGGTTTCATGGGCAGCTCCTCCTGTAAAACGTCAAGACAAGCTGGACACATGGATACCCCATTCGCAAGTTATTGAGGCTACCTTTGTCATCGGCCCCGATGTATATGAGGCACAATGGTCATACGATCATAAATATCATCCGACCATATACACAACATTGAATGGCGAGCCTGTCGACACACCAGCACTGATAGAATGGGATCATCTCGGAATCCTCAAAAAGCCCACGAACTTCACATTTCGGCATGATGATCACATGATTGGCTTCAAATCATTACGTTCACATGCTCTGCCCAGGTGGCTGGGTATGAATACCCATCAAAATCCAGTCTCCACTTCGAAAGCTAGATCGAGGCTATGGCAAGCATGGAAAAACAATTCGGCGTTTGATGGTGTAATCATGAGATGGCTTGACGAAAGACTTCTTCGACGGGAACCAATGATGCGCCCATATTTTCGAAGACGTGATCACGGCAACCTCAAGTCAGCTGAAGAATATTTGCATGAGAACGCAGACGCAATTATGGCCGTTATCGATCTCGATAAATCAATTTCGGGTTGGGCACCACTTGCATTTCAGATTGCAGACTTGTACGCATTTGGACAGGGAGGTTCTGCCAATGCTCGCACTAGGTCTGCTCCAGATTTCAAAAGCGATGAGCTTCATGTTCTTGCCACAGACTCTGGAACTTGGCCCAATGAAGGAGGGGGAGTGTCTGCATGCCGAAGAGACATGGTGAACAATCTTAAGGCGGCGAAGTGGTACATGATTTCAGAATCTGCGAATGATTTTGGAGTGCCTAAACATCAAACACAAGAGAACGTGCAGACATTAAAAGTCATTCCAATTTGGGGACTCGATTTCATGACACCGACCCATGGAATTTTCAGAGATAAATTAGATTCAGAGGTCGTTCATGCCGTCAAATATGCGACAAAACTAGACATTCAGAAGAATTTTGTTCCGATTCTCAAAGCTCTGGTGAAAGGGGCTAGAACGAGTCAATATTCGAACAGTGACATTCTCCAATCAACCCGAGCTTTGGTCAACCTAAACGCGTATTTCTCCCAAGGAAAACACTGGTCCGGTGTTTGGAACAGTAGAATCGTTAAGAATGCCTGGCGGAATCTATGGATCTCACAAGATCTTGTGAGTCCAACGCCCTCAGAGGGTTGGTTTCAGACTGAGATACCCACAATAGCTCAACTTGACGCCGCACTCGATCTTTGGCTTCGGTACTTGTTCATATTCTCCCTTCCCATGCCTGAGAAGATTCCGGCAATTTTCCAAGCGTCACATCATTCCGTCAGTGCTTCGTACGGAATTGTGTGCAAGATTACCAGAGGAAGCACATTGCAAATCTGGGATCACGCTATTAGTTGGCGCGAAGTAAATCTCTACCTGTCTTCAGATCTCTGTTCTCTACCACCGTTTGTCAGAAACTCGTTGCTCGGTCTTATGAAGCTCACCAGTCAACTGACACTTCACCACGCCGATATCATTCTACCTTGCGCTGACTTCTTCAATCCTGGATGGGAAGTCGAAATCGGATCACACCAAGGAAAACTCGAGCACCGAAATATTTTCAAGCGCAAGATTGATCCTGTCGTTAATGGTATCCCACCTGCAGATATCTCAAAATTCAGTCCAATCAAGGAGACAACTTCGCCTTTGCCAACGGTCACCATGCTTTCTCATGTTTGGTATGCGAAGGATATCAAGACTGCTATTTTAGCTGCTGATATCATTGTGAATGTATGGGGATTCAAAGACTACCGTCTCGATATTTACGGTGCAATCGACAAAGCACCACAATACTCAACAGACTGTTTCGAAATTTTAGCCTCCAAATCCTTACCAGGCTATGTCAATTTGTGCGGAACTGCAAGTCCAACTGATGTGCTCAAGAAAACATGGGTCTTTCTCAATTCTTCTATCTCTGAGGGGCTACCCTTGGCATTGGGAGAAGCGGCTTTGACTGGCGCGCCTGTTGTATGTACAGATGTTGGGGCGTCTCTTCGGGTGCTTACAGATCCTAATACCGGCGACTGCTTCAGCGCTGTGGTTGCCCCCAATGATGCACAAAGTCTTGCAAGAGCGCAGATCAATATGCTTGCTCTTCTGGACGAATGGGCACCTTACGCGAATGATCCTCAAGGTTACAAGCCTCCTTCTATTATCGATAAGCCATCCGCAGAAGAAGTTGCAATCATTACAAAGCGAATGTATGAGAAGAAGAGCGAACTTCGAGCCCTTGGAATGCGAAGTCGAGAAATTGTTCAGAAATCATTCGGAGGTAACAGATATCTCAGAGAGCATGAGCAGATGCTCTGGATTGGAAAGTCTCGTCACGACATGAAATTCCCCTCGAAACCACCAAGACCCACAATAAGACCCGCATTGCCATCAGTTCAAGTAGCAAGTAATATGTGGGGACAAGCATCTGTACCTTCTATTCTCCAGGGTCCCCCTCTTCGACCATCCATATTCCGGGGATCCAGTCCTAGCATCATGGCACGATCCATGCGAGCAGCTTCTACCGTGGTTCCATCCCCCACTCTCGAAAGACCTACGTCCCACATGGGTTACGGTAGTGGTATCAAGGGCTATCAAAATATCAATGACTACTTCGCTGGCTATCGAACTGGTGATAGCAATGTCTCTACTCCCGATCTCCAATTCCTCACGCCTCCTGGTATCCATACACCTAGTGGCAATTCTATGAGAAGCCAGTCGCCAATGAGGAAAGGGGCGTCTACACGTCTTACGATGCTCTCCAGAGGCAGCACTAGTTATGATACTCGATCTGAGAGTTCCTCATTAATCGGACCCTCTAAACGATTACCCGGAGAGGATACATTCCTTCGTGATCTAGATACCGCCCTTGGGCGCGTGTAATTTTCTTTTTTTCTGTCAACATCTATCTAGCGCATCATGCCATGCATGGCTTATTTTCTTTTTCCGAAAACTGTTTCTTCTTCGTATACCTCACATTGCATTTCACACAGATTGTGATTAAAAGTTTCTCGGGTCATTCAGGTTCAAAATTTACAACACATCGGTTTCTTTACGGGTATATTTCTTTTCTTGCATCGATCTCTCACATTCATTTGGTAGAATCATGTTTATATATATCTATTTTAATTGTCTATATGGGTGGGATTCTGATTAATTGTCAGAGGCAAAGAGATGATGCAGAGAAATAAATGGGCATATTTGGCATTATGTAGTATTTTAGGTATTCTTAATAAGTTAAATAATGAATCTTTACATCATATTCATAAAAGTTTGCAAGCTCGAGAGCCGTTCGAAGAAGTTTATGTGAATGCTTAATGACTAAACGACAAGAGACGATCTGCTTACTCTTCTCGGAACCATGCAATTGTTAAGGGACTTGCTATCTCTACACGATTTAGCTAGGCATGTATGTTACTTTGAGTCTACCTGATGTATCGCTTTTGGTTGCGGCTGAGCACCAACAGCAGGTTTCTAGAATAGGCAAGCAATTCATCAACTGAGCATGAGCATGATTAGAGACGGATTAGCATTCATGTAACAGGATCAAAAGCTAACATATAAGTACACCACTTGCATCTCATCACCTCAATATCCTGTATTTCGGTTCTCTCCTCGTTCCTCCTCTCTAAATTCTCTTAAAGAAAAGTATTTGAAAATCTACAGGTTACTACTTAATTTCACCTACTAAAATCATCTTAAGCAGCAACCCCTTTCTCACTCCATAACCCCCAACCATTCAAACCACAGCAGAACCTCCTCACTAGCCATGGTCCTCGCACCCGAACCCAAAACCACTATCTCACTACACTTACGATCCTTCATTCCCAGCCGCCATCGTAGTCAGCATACTCTATTCCCTAGCATTCATCATTACTCTCTTCCAATGACTTAGATACCATGCCAGAGTATGGTTTATCATAGTTGCTGCTGCTGGCAGTGGGTATTTCTCTTCTCCCCTCACCCGTGACCCTATATCCCGAGCTCACACTAACGATATCTCTAATGGAAGCAGCAGGATATATCATCCGAGCAATCTCCTCGAAACACGATACTGAAAACCCAATATATGTAGCGCAAACTGCACTTATTGTACTCTCACCTGTTCTCATGGCCGCTGCTTGCTATACTATTTTTGTGAGTCGGAATTCTTTCAAGCCAAGCTATCTTGAAACCATTGCATTGTCGCTAACGGCATGAATACGAGGGGAGAATACTCTACCACGTCGTTCCGAAGGAGCACGAACCACCAAGCTCTTCTGGATTCCTCCTCGGTTCATAACTCCTATTTTCGTAATGTGCGATTTCCGTGAGTTCCTCATAGTTCAACTCCAAAATCCATGTATCAATCACTAAAAACGCCCTTCAGTTGCGCTTCTCCTTCATCTAATCGGGGTCGTGCGCATCACATCTATCGATATCACCACCACTGATGTTTAATCCAAGCTGACTCTAGGGAAAAATATAGCTCTAGTCGGAGTCGCAATCCAGATGGCATGCTTTGGACTTTTCTCCATCATCGCTATCCGCTTCAATTTCACATCTCGACGCTTTGTATCGGAGTTTCAGCAACGCATTACTCTTCCAATGGATAGCGAGAGCAAGAATGAGAAAGATAAATTTGTGATAATCGACGAAGCAGAAAAAGAACTCAACCCAAATTGGCAGACGCTATTACAGGTCGTCACTATTACTTGCGTGTTGATTTTGATCAAGAATGTTTTTCGCATGGGGGATTTTGCGCTGGGGAGAACGGGGTATACGGAGGAACATGAGTGGTGGTGAGGGTCTATTCTTTCAATCTCTCTCAGGTGGATGACGAATAAAGGGAGTAGGGATGGGCCGACAGAGGAGAAAACAGTGTATATGTTTTTGATGCGTTGCCTATTTTTCCTTGTGTGGCACTCTTCAATTATTGGCATCCGGCAAAATACCTCCCATATTTGCAATGGAGATTTCCAAAGTATGCCAGATAAATCAATGGTAACTCAAAGCCATGATTGGAGGGTACTGATTGGCGAAATCGTTAAGGGGTGTTCGATTTGGGTTTGTAGGAAAATGCAGATAGTAAATAATAACAATTGTGTGTTACCCATAAGTCAACTACCCCACTTTCCGACCACCCCCTGTTTCCGACCACCTAAAAAATTCATATTATCTACACTTAAAACTTTAATAACTCAATAACTATTGAACTTCAATGAAATCGCCTGTAGAATCACTTTCTATAGCACTAGAGCTATCATCTACCTCATCTTCACGATCTCCAGCTTCAATTTGTGTACGCCTTATAGCTCTAATCCCTGCGAACTTCGAATTTGGAGATACCACAACCTTTCGCCTTTTTCTAGGTAATGCTTCATCTAATTGATATTCTAGCTTTCTAATCTTATTCTCTGCCTCTAAGAGTTCATAATCCTTAGCATCGAATCCTTTTATAATCTTGCGAAATAGTAATCTTCGTGTTGGCAAATCGATCTCCTTCTCTTGAATCATTATATCTCTATATTTTCTGATATCGGCTCCTTTTTGAGGGGTTTTCCATTGAATAAACGATGAATATATATTCCATTGAAGAATAGGATCATCATCAGATTCAGGATTAAGTGATAAAACCTCTCTATTGCTATTTTCAAGCAAAAGTCGACTCATAAGAGGTTTAGCCATATTTTTGGGCCAAAGACCACTAGCTTGCCACCCAGACTTGATATTTTGAATAGTTAAACCTTCTATTCTAGCCTTCTGATAGCAAGAAAGGAAATTGCGCTTTCCAATTGGTGAGGAATCGGATAATAGACTTAATTTATTAAGTTCGATTCGATATGCACTTTTTAGGGGTGAGAACACAGATAAATCGAGTGGTTGTAGTACGTGTGACGTATGTGGTGGGAGAAATAAGAGATATATGTTGTTATTAAAGCATTCTAACATAAATGCTGTAGTTTCATGGCTTCCGTGTCCGTCCAAAATGAGGAGTCTTGAATTTTCCGGCTGAATAGGGGTAGTTTGAGGGATATAGATCTTTTTCAGCCATTCTAAAGCTGTAGCATCTGTAGTCCATCCATTTTCTGTAGCGGTAAAGTTCCAACCCTTGAATAGAGTCAAATCTGTTGGAAACCATTGTTGTTGAACTGATTTTCCCTTATATATTACAAGGGGAGTAATGCTTTTTCCATTGGCTGAAATGCATTCTATAAAAGAGGTCCAAATTCGAGATCCAGGTTGCTTTTTTTGAATAAATCTTCGATCAGTGCTTCCTACTACTAGTCCATTAAGACCCTGACCCTCCATTATACCTGCTTCATCCATATTCCATCTGTTGGCCGGCTTAATAGCCTTGATTTCAGGGATTGCGAGGTTCCGGAACCACTTCTTAATAATATCAGATGTAGCACCTGAAACTCGTGCAGAATCGATTTGATGTTGCTTCTTAGTTCCAATATTAGGATGCCTTCGAAAAAAGCTATGTATCCATTTCTTTCCAAGTGAGGGATCCTCCCCTCGTACAATAAGGAGGTGCTCTGCCATCTCTCTGATTTGACGATGTGTAGGGCTAGTACCAAGAGCTTCCTGTACTAATATCCATTCTGCTAGTCGATTCTCCTGAATTGGAGATAACTTTTGAAGTATTTGGGCGCCTTTTTGATGCGAAACTCCACCATATATTCGATCGTGAAGTGTGGTACGTGGAACACCATAATCCAAGCTAGCTCTTCGTATGCTTGCTCCATTTGTAATCGCTCTAAGAGCCTCTGCGATATCTTCTTCGGTATATCTATTCTTCATATCACAATTATAATAATATCAAAATTTCAAATCAATTGATTAAAGCATTGTTGAGTTATTCAAAGTATAAATTTTATAATTACTCAAAGCGGTGTGGTTTTTGAGGTGGTCGAAAAGAGGGGGTGGTCGGAAAGTGGGGTAGTTGACTTATGGGATCTTTTGTTTTTTAATTTCGTTTGGTAAGAGTTGAAGTCTTGGCTTATTGCATATTACTCTTTTTCATGACAAAATCTCTGCAAAAATACTATTTTCCTATATAAATTAATTATTTTCATAATTCTTTAATTATTTAAAGAATTGATTTGAAAATTATATATATAAGAAATAATTAACGTAACTTGACTAGAAGTGGGTTATGTCATGATATAGGTCAAAATCACCCCCTCATTTCTTTATTTTACATGTTTATTCAACACACAATGAATCGAAAGTCATTAAATTGTAGTGAATCGGAAGATAATATTCAAAAGGCTATAAAAAGTCTAAAAAATAAACAATTTACTTCAATTCGAAGTACTGCTATTCATTTTAAGATTCCGAAGTCAATCTTAATAAATCGAATAGCTGGACGACAATCACGCTCTCAATCTCACGAATCCTTTCAAAAACTTTCCAACATGGAAGAGAAGACTCTAATACAATGGATCTTACGATTGATAACTACTAGATACCCTACAACTTCTGGGTTGTTGAAAGAAATAGCCCAAGAAATTCTAAATCAATACATCATTTTCGTATCACCATCTACCCCTTTATCCTTTCAATTAAATCATATAGGTCAACAATGGATCTATAGGTTCTTAGATCGATATCCCAAACTTAAAGGAACCTATTCTCGTAAATTAGAATCTGCAAGACATAAAGAAGCCATATTTGAAACAATTTCAATATGGTTTTCAATATTTGAAGCACAAATCGAAGAATAATATTATAAACTCAAGAATATATATAATATAAATGAAATAGAATATACAGTTGGAGAAATAGAATCAATATGTATAATTATGGATTCTACTCTTAAATCGAATTGAAAGGTTACAATAGGAAAGCAAGAGTGGATAACTGTATTGGAATGTGTGAATGTAGATGGAGGCTTTTTGCCCCTTATAATCATTTTCAAGGCTTAGAATACCAATACTGTATGAATTCCAACTAACACTTCTTCAAACTGGTATTTCTCAACAAGCAATAGTGAGTGGACTTCTAATAGTTATGGCTTTGAATGGATATATAAGGTTTTTGAGCTAGAATCTCGAAAAATATTAGGAGATCAGTCTCGATTATTGATTATGGATGATTATTCTAGTCATATTATAGGAAGTTTGATTGCTTTTTATATTAAGAAGGAGATTGATCTTTTTATTCTACTACCTTATTGCTCATATTTACTTCAGCTATTGGATGTTGGAGTGTATGGATCGATGAAGTGATATTATATTTAAGAGGTTGATTGATATTCTCGAACAGAAATATAACAAATACAACAATCTGATTGGGTATAGCTTTTTCAAAAGATAAAAGAAAAAGGTTTTATTTATCAAAATATCAAAAGCGAATGGAAAGAAGCAGGTTTGAATTCATTTAGTTCTTATTAAGTTCTAAATAATCTTTCAACTTTGCTTTTACTATTACCTTCCACTCCAAATACATTAGCAAATCTAAAAGATTTAGATCTCTCTTTACTTAATAGCTTTCTCCTGAATGATATTGAGCTGTGACAAGCAAATAAGGTATTCAATTCAGCTTTATCTACTAATAATCTGTTTACTTCTTTAGTACAAAGATATACAAAGCGAATAACTCATCAGATTGAAAGCTTAAATACTGAAAATGCTATTCTTCGAAAGGAACTTCAAGAATATAAAGAGTTACTTGAAATATGAAAGAAATGAAAAAATAGAAAGAGAATAAAATTAAAAGATAAATTTGTATTTAATATTAAAGAAATATTGAAAATTATTAAGGAGGTTGAATAGATACTCTTATTAAAACAACAACGTAGTAAACTATCCAAGTATTAAATTGATTAGATAAAAGGGGAGATAGAAGAGGAAAAGGATAGTAATAGTTTAATTGGATCAGTAATAGTTGTAGATCACCCTGTAGCATGTAGGATAAAGTCAAATAGGAAAATATGATTTTTGTAACCCATATCATGACATAACCCACTTCTAATCAAGTTACGTTATATAAAGAATATTCGATTTAAATTAATTCTTGAAATTATAAAGATTGATAAAGTTATAGGTTTTTAAAATTAAAATTTTTCAAAATTTATAATATGTAATACTTTTCTTATACAAAAAAAACCACTTTTTCAAGTTTTTTAATAATTTCAATTTTAAGAATCTATAATTTTATCAAAAAAATAGCTAAAAATATTTCATTTGTTTTTTTGAATTACTTCAATAATTCTAAATCTTATTTATTATTTTTATAAATTTAATTTATAAATTGATTGAATTAATATATAATTTAAAAGTTGAAGAAAGAAGGGTTTTTAGTATGTTTTCGCTTAGTGTGCGATAAGCTGGGGTCTAAACTCTTACAATCTGTTGATATACTTATAAGTTTACTTAGCTATGCACTTGGAAACACTTATTCTTATCGCTTGTCATCATTTAAGGGTATCTTTCAATTTACCAATACAGAAAAACATCACTTATAAACTGTAGTCGATTCATTGATCAGAGGACGGAGCCAACCCTCATGCTCACCCCAAGTCGCAACCGACATGGCGAATTCGTTACTCTTTCCGGAATAGTGCTTTTGGACGTAAATACTATCAAATACCCTTAATCGCGGTCAGCTCTTTGAGATTTACAAAATACTATGGACAATATGTTTGAATAGATTCATAATTTTACCAATAATCTGCTTTCCACCAGTCAAATAGCATATGGCGAGGTATCTGCGCGACATACATATCCGCTAAGGCTGCTTACTTGCAGATTTCATCCACTCACAACCGAATAGGAGCTGGTGCTCTCTCGTGATGAACAATTCGTAAACCAGTTCGGGACTGGCTTCATAATCTGTTGATTGTAAAAACAACCACCATGGTTTTTGCGGAAAAGCCAAGCAAGGCATGTTTATGCTGCCGAAAGAGAAGAATAAAAGTTCGATAACTCCACCCCAATCAATACCACTAGTTCTAAAATTCTCCTAGTGTGATCAGAAGTTGCCGGCTTTTACACAATGTATACGAGTGGACAAGATATGTCCAGGATATCGAGATCAGCTAGAACTTTGCTTCCGAGATGAGAATGGAAGGACCTTGCGAAAAGCCAATTCCGTAAACAATGCATCTACTGTGAGAGTCGAAAGGTCTCCTCAAGATGGAAAAGTCAGGATTCCATATCCTGTTACACAACTACCAACCAAGGCCTCGGACTCAACGTCAGAATTCGGATCTGGAAAATCTGCCATCTCGAACTTCCCACAACCAAAGACTGGTGTTCTTTGAATGATAAAAGGATAACTTTCTTCCTCACGTATTATATGACAGTTCCACTAAAAAGCACACATAATGGGTTTGATCTAATGCCAACGATGTCTGTCGAATCGTTTGTGCAAAGAAGAACGTTAGAAGCAGTTTCTTCAGTGGGACTGGCTGGATTTTCAAACGCCATCAAGAATCCCATTTTGATGGCGATTGCAAGAAAGAAGCATTACAATACTGTGAATTTTGTGATTCGGCAACTTTAAGATGTTGTGAATGCAAGTATTGAAGGACCACTACAAAAAGCTGTGATGTTGATCATCTTTCAGGTAAGTGTCGCCATTCAAGAACCACGAAACAACTCTTAGCAATTTAGTTGATGAACGATGCACCTCGTGAATCACGTTCACTTTCTGTGCATTTCGACGGTGATTTAGGTCTAGTGAAAACAATAGCTTTGAGAAATTATGAGGAAAACAAACCGACCACGAAACTCCAGTTGCTATTCTTTTTCGCTGCACATATCAAATACTTTGAGGAGGACAACCTCCCGTCGACGCAACTAATAGAGCTTTCCAAGCTTATTCTAAAGAACAAGCGAACGCAAGATGCGACTGCTTCTGCGCTAGTTGAGATTGTTATTCTATTTATCAATCTCCATGCATCCATCAGGGCGAAAGCGTTTACAGATCCACTTGGGATGGTGTCGGCAGTAGCTTTCCTGGATGGCGAATTGGAGCGATGGGAAGCAAATCTCCCTCTTGAATGGGATTTTACTGTACGGAGCAGAGACTTGCTAGATGGGAGTTCTTTCAATGGGAAATGTCACGAATATTGTGATGTCCGGGTTTCGCGAATGTTTAATCACCATCGACGGATGAGAATATTATTGAAGGAACTTCTTCTCGAGCATTTGAATAGGATAAAATACCTTACGTCTGAACATTTAGTTCAAAAGATGAAAGCATTAAAAACAATCGACAGGATGGCAACAGATATTTGCACTAGCATCTCTAGTTATTTTGACCATGCCACACTAGTGGAACGTCCAACATTGTTACCTCAAATGAGCGGTATACCAGTGTTCTTGATGGTTTGGCCGTTAATCATCGCTGGTGGAGGAATTGGTGTACCACAACATTTGTACAACTGGGTTCTCGGTCGATTGGATATTATCAACAAACAGTTAGGCGTTTTATCCGCGCAGACAATGATGGAGCGGGCCAAGATACGCCGACAGTGGTGGATTCGTGCAGACATGAAAGCATCACGCACAACATGCAATGATACCTTATTTCCCCTGATCCTTGAAACTGGCTGCGAGATGCAGATGGAGATGGAACCATTGGACTGAGTAAAGATGATCACCACATGTTTGGGGAAGAGGTCCGGAAAATGCGGATTGTGGTATCCTAGACCTTAGTTATTGATACCCCAGAAGAGTTAACGTGCAGACTCACGCGGGATAAGATTATACTCTGTAGTATCTCTTACTGCAAAGAATAAATTAACCGTTCTTGAAGTATTTGTTGACCGCTGAAGATCTTCAAAGTAGATCGATGGAATAGAATCCCGAGTGAGATTGTTCGCTCGGACTCATCCGATATGGATTGGATCTACACGTGATTTCATACGCGATAGGTACTAATCAGTGAGAAGGCATGTAGGTATTGATTCTTGATTGATCTTCTTCGGCATTTCTATTATCTTTGGCTCCAGGGGTTTGAGAGAAAGAGTTTTGTCTTTGGATTGCTGAAGATACTACCTTGGTACACCTTGGTACTTATTAATTAGCTAGTAGATCTGACTCGTGGTGTCTGATTTGTCTGATTTGTCTAATTATGGTCTGTGACCTTCTCCACAAACATTTCGTGCATCTTCACAAGAAATCTCCGTTCACTCAGACGCTTTCGCGAACACTTTACAAATACGTCGTGAAATCCAAACTGAGAATGCAATTCTTCATTTTGATGCATTCTCGTACATTGTCGTACGTCGATTTCCCCTCATTCTTTGGCCCAATACGCTTGCTCGTTGAAGTAGTAGCTCTTATCACCAATATCTACAACGTTACTTTATCCGGTACTCAATAATGACCTTGAGAAACATGCAGCTACATGTATACTAGGTTCATATACTTGACCTAACACGTATAGGGAAGCTCATATAGCCGGCGCATATGATCAACATTGCTCTAGAACAACTATCATCATACTATCAAATTCCCCGCATAAAATGCGCTTATCCGAGAGTCAAATGCCAATGGAGGCTTTCGACGTGACTTAACGTTGGTGCATGTGCGCCTACTACCACGCAGAACACGCCAAAAACAACTCGGTAGGGGAAGAAATCAATGCACATATTCAATATATATTCAGGATTTTTCTGGCCGGTGACAGGATCTTCGGAAGTTAAGCTTTTTGGTGTTCAATCCGAGTGTTCCTTGCAGGTTTATCCTCATGTGAACCATTAGGTTCATGGAGTTACGAATTCTGTACTCCTCCTATGTTGTGTGATCTGCTATATTCAAGAAAACGTTGAAATCCCTCAACTTTACACTTTCTTTTCTATCTAGATTCTTCTAGCCTTCCTTCCTAGACTCAGATCTCCTCGAGGCACCCGAGTAGTAGCTCGCTGGATTCACTATTGAGTTACCCCTCTTTGTCATCATCATTGGAACTTCATAGTGATTCACCAATTCCCATGAAGGCTAGTGTTGCAGGAAACTTCATTTTGATCTATTTGAACCTTCGTCCCACGTAGCCTTCTCCCGCTCTGTGTTTCTGCCAAATTCGGATTTCAACTCCAGAATTCATATAAAGACAAGCAGTTCGTTCGTTTACCTCTATTCTTTGCAAATATTGTAAGTTATCAAGCAGCCAAAAGCCAATAACTCTAGGGAATGCTAATCTCAAATAGGTTCGTGACTCCCCGTAGATAGTTCTTGGACTTGATATTACAATGCGTTTCACTTCTACAACCGCGCCTGCGTTGGCATCTCTATGCTTAACTACGTTGGCTGCACCTCATGGTCCTCAGTCTGAAAAGGGACAAACCTATGACAGATCAGCAACTTCCGCTACAGATCGACAGGCTGCTGTCAAAGAGGCATTCTCGTTTGCTTGGGATGGATATTACAAATACGCCTTCCCTCATGACGAGCTTCATCCAATTGCGAATAGTTACTCAGATTCCAGGTATAACAATCAAAACATGCATCACAATACCCGAACTAACTTGCAAAAAGGAATGGGTGGGGAGCCTCTGCTGTCGATGCATTCAGCACGGCAATCATCATGGAGATTCCGGAAATTGTAGATGTAATTTTAGATTGGATCCCAACCATCAATTTCGACGAAACTAGTTCCCAAGTTTCACTGTTTGAGACTACTATCAGATATGTTGGTGGGCTGCTTGCTGGTAAAGTTCTCCACTGTCTATCTTCAAAGCCCATTTATCTTACATATTTCAGGTTACGATCTCCTTAAAGGACCTTTTTCCAACCTCAATTCTAACGACACGGCCGTCGATGATGTTCTTGCTCAGGCAGCACGCCTAGCTGACAATATGGCATTTGCATTTGATACGCCTTCAGGAGTGCCAGCCAACAATCTTTATTTCAATCCTCCAAGCACTGATGGTTCTACCACAAACGGAATCGCCACAATTGGCTCACTGGTTCTTGAGTGGACCCATTTGTCTGATTTAACCGGTAACGACACTTATGCTAAACTCTCACAAAAGGGAGAATCGTATCTTTTGGACCCAAAGCCCGAATACAACTCACCATGGCCTGGTATGCATTAACTCAGTCTTTTATTATCCCGCTCCATCTCAGATCAGTCCGACTCCATGTCTCGTTTGGTTGTTCCATCTTCTTTGTCTTGTAACCCCTGATCTAACCCCGAATTGCCATTTTCCACTTACATTCTCATCCTGAAGACAATAATTGACTATTAATGCCATAGGTTTGCTCGGTACAAATGTGGATATCAACACAGGACTTTTCCAAGACGCGAGCGGAGGTTGGGTAGGTGGCGATGACAGTTTCTACGAGTATCTCATCAAGATGTACGTGTATGACTCAACTAGATTTGGCAAATACAAGGAAAGATGGATCGCAGCTGCAGATTCATCCATCAAGCATCTGGCTAGTCACCCCTCGACTCGTCCAGATTTGACCTTTATGGCCGCCTACCAAAACAAAACACGTGTTTTTGTTTCCGAGCATCGTAAGTGCACTCACTCATCACCAATGGACTTCAAGTTAGTCGAACTATAAAACTGACATCGACACACAGTTGCTTGTTTCGACGGAGGCAATTTCCTCCTCGCAGGTCTCGTACTCAAGGAGCAAAAGTACATTGATTTTGGACTCGAGCTCGTCACCGGCTGTGAAGACACCTACGCCAGCACACTCACCGGTATCGGACCCGAAGTTTTCCAATGGGTAGAGAGTAACACTTCTGCCAACGATACCCGAAACCCCCCACCACCTGCCGACCAACTCGCCTTCTATGAGAAAGCCGGTTTCTATATCACCAATTCAGATTATATCCTGAGACCCGAAGTTCTTGAGTCTTTCTATTATGCTTATCGTATAACTGGAGATGAGAAATATCGCGACTGGAGCTGGAATGGATTTGTTGCTATTAATGCGACGGCGAGGTATGACTTCATTGAGCCATATGACTTTTGAAAAGTCTAGGAACTGACTTTGCAACCACAGAACCGGTAGTGGATTTGCTGAACTCCAAAATGTCAATGCGGCGAATGGAGGTGGTTTCAGTGATTTCCAGGATAGTTTCTTGTTTGCGGAGGTTTTGAAATATGCATATTTGATTCACGGAGATGTAAGCTTCCCTTCCTTCTTTCTCCCCGCCTCCCCCCTCCCTTTTTCCCTTATCCAACTCGTACTCACACTCATCAAATAGGACGCAGAATACCAAGTCGGAAGCGGCGGTGTCAACCAATGGGTTTTCAACACCGAAGCCCACCCCTTCAAAGTCGCTGGTCCTCCCGTCTAATTGACAGATTGAAATTTTTGTATCAGGATTCGGTTTCGGTTTGGAGTTTACACGGTTTACAGAAGATTTTCTCTTCTTTGGGTATTTAATTCTAGGCACGCTAGCAATCTAGCTCCTCTTCTTTGGTGATGGACTATCAAGCCATGCCGTTTTCTACATTTAGCTTAGTTCTTTAGCTGAATGTAAGTTTTTTATCAAATTTTGGATTGGATGTGAGGATTTAGATGAAGTTCTTTTAATCCCTGTGCTTATTTATTCTTTTCAAAAAGGAGATGCTTTTTGGTTCTTTGGCTTTTGTATTTGCATTTGCATGTGTACATACATTATTTACTTCAAGAATCGAACCATGAAATGCGGTAATCCTGAACCATTGCACACACATGACTAGTTTTCTAAACCCTTGGAACATACTCCGCAAGCTCACATTCTCTAATTCAACGTCGATTCAACACACCGAGACAGTCATCAACAAGCAACATCTCAGAAAATGTAGAAGAGGCGATAGTTGCAAAAGCATATATCCAGCAAGCCTTCTTTGTAAGAATATCAGGGAAGCGATGTAACCTATCAATACTTAGATAGAAATCTCACCCTCCCAAACTTGCATTCCAGAGTTTAGGGTTGGATGCTACGTTGTCAAGCAATTTTCTTCATCTATCTTCATCTGACGTACAAGTACTGCTAAACCGAAGAAACATATTTTGTCTCCGCCCGATTTTGATTAAACCTTTCGTTTCAACAGTCCCTTCAAGAAATCAAAGCTATTGCTATCACTCTGCAACTCCCAAACCTTTCCTGTAGGTCTATCTTCCCAGCCCAACTCTTCCGCGCGTAGCAATCCCCAATCCGTAGTAATACCCCTAATGATAGCCCTTGCACCACCTTCTGTCTCCAAGGTAACTATTTGATCCGTATGCAGCCAGTGTTTATAATACGCTTCCTCCAGTTTTTTATCAAAGCCATTTCTACAGAAAGTTCTATAGATGGTTTCGAATTTCGTGAGGAAGCGAGCAAGGAGTTTTTCGAGAGAGAAAGGTGTGAGATGTGGTGGTAAGAGAGCGTTGAGTGATGTTGTTGGCGCTGCGTTTGTGGTATTGAGACCTATACCTACGACCAGATCGTAGTTCCCAGATGAATACGAGGAATTGACGAGAATACCCCCAACCTTTACATATTCCTTTCTTCCGGGCTTAGATGGATCTTGGACATCTATGATTGTTAGAACGAGCTTTAAAGGATGAAGAAAAGAACGTACAGATATCATTGGGCCACTTGAGCTTAATTGGTACTGTGTCATAGCCTTTATCATATGAATGAATAGCTTCAA